GGCCAAAAATTCATGCCCTGGGGGGGGGGGTCCCTCAGCCCAGCCTGCACCCTCTCCAATCTGGGACTCCACAGACATCCCTCTCACAATCTGGGACTGCTGGCTCCTAACTGCTCGCCTGCTGGCCTGATTGACGCCTAACTGCTTCCCTGCCAGCCCAATCGCCCCCAACTGCCCTCTACTACCACGACCTGCTTCCTCCACCGGGACTCACCTCCTCCGCACGAGGCGGCGGAGATGCCAGAACCGGAGCAGCCACCGGGCCCCGCCTCCACTGTGCGTGGGGCCATCTTGTGGCGGCCATCTTGTGATGACATAACATGCAAGGGCCACCTAGGCTTTTATTAGTATAGACAGTATAGATGGTGGCCATCTTGTGATGATGTCATGTGCAAGGGCCACCTAGGCTTTTATTAGTATAGATTATATATAATAGGATATTGTAAAAATTAAGTTATGAAATTTTTATTAAAACGTTTCTTACATATCGTTATATTGTCTGGGCCGCAAAAATATTCATTGTGGGCTGCATACGGCCCATGAACCACACAAGTTTGACATGCTTGATGTAAGGAGCCTCTGGAACAATTTCAAGCATACCAACATTTGCATTATGGGGGTGCCAGAAGAAGAGAGAGAGAAAGATATTGGAAACCTACTTGAAGAAATGACAGAAAAGTTCCCCTACCTGGTGAAAGAAATAGACTTACAAGTCCAGGAAGCACAAAGAGTCCCAAACAAGAGGAACCCAAAGAGGCCCACACCAAGACACATCATAATTAAAATGCCAAGGGATAATGACAAAGAGGGAATCTTAAAAGCAGCAAGAGAAATGCAGTTAGTTACCTACAAGGGTGTGTCTATATGACTGTGAGCTGATTTCTCAACAGAAACTGCAGCCCAGAAGGGAGTGGCAAGAAATATTCAAAGTGATGAATTGCAAGGACCTACAACCAAGATTACTCTACCCAGCAAAGCTATCATTTAGAATTGAATGTCAGATAAAGAGCTTCACAGACAAGAAAAAGCTAAAGGAGTTCATCACCACCAAACCAGTATTACATGAAATGTTGGAGGGTATTCTTTAAGAAGAGGAAGAAGAACAACAACAACAAAAGATAAAAAATATGAATAATAAAATGGTTATAAATACATATTATCAACAATTGAATCTAAAAATCAAAATAAATGAACAAGAAATCTAATGAACAGAATAAACTGGTGAATAAAATAGAATCAGAGGCACGTAAATGGAACAGACTAACGATTCTCAGAGGGAAACGGGTGAGGGGACAGGAAGAGATTAACCAAAGATCTTATATGCATATATGCATTACCCATGGACAGAAACAATAGGGTGGCAAAGGCCTGGGGTGGGGCGGGAACCGGGTGGTGGGGGAACATGGGGAAAAAAAGAGGGACATCTGTAATACTCTCAACAATAAAGATTAAAGAAAAAAAGAAAATCTGGGAAGAGATCAGCAATCTGTGTTTAAACAAGCTTTTCAGATGTTTCTGATGCATGCTAAAGTTTTAGAACTACTGATTTTTTTAGAATCATCAAAAAGTGATGGTCTAATCCCATCACTCCTTTTACATTACTGGAATTCTTCTTTACAAAAGTTATCCTCATCAACAATTTGGTTACTCTGAAAAAGTTTTACGGAAAAGGTAAGATAAACGCTAATTTCTTTTTATTGATCAACTAGAGGCCCGATGCACGAAATTCGTGCAAAAGTAGGCCTTCCTTCCCCTGGCTGCCAGCACCAGCTTCCCTCTGGCACCCGGGACCCAGGCTTCCCTCCAGCCACTGGCAGGCACCAGGACCTGGGCTTCCCTTGCAGCCCTGGCTTCGTCCAGAAGGTCGTCTAGTCTAATTAGCATATTATACTTTTATTATTATAGATTTTCAAAGTAATGACCGAGAACCACATCAATCTTTAATTGTTGACCAATAAGTTTTAGAGGAAGGGTTTTGGGGCAAGTGTTTATATACCTGACATGTCTTAATTCTTTTAGTCATAATTCTTCTTTTTAAAAAATGTTTTTAAAAATTGATTTTAGAGAGAGAAGAAGGGAGAGAGAAAGAAAGAACAACACTGATGTGACAGAAAAATATTAATAAGTTGCCTCCTGCACATGGCCCAATCGGGGATCAAACCTGCAAACCCAGATATGTGCCCTGACCGGGAATCCATCTCACCACTTTTTTGTATGGGAGGACACTCTAACCAACTGAGCCACCTGGCCAGGGCAGTCATAATTCTTTGGAATGCTCAAACTTTCCCATCTTAGGTTGGAGTGAACCCCTTCAAGTTGACTTCTATGATCCTTTAACAAAACTCTATTAGTCTTTTATAGCTTCCTTGCTTTCAGGCACTAGATGTCTCTAGCTCAACTTGCAAATTTTCTGTCCTAGACCTGGAGTCAGCCACTTCTCTAAGAGACAGGTCATTTTAGTGAAGAATGGTGTTTAGAGATTACAATCTGTGATGCAGAGGTATTCTCTGCCGCTAGGTTATCACTATTTCTAGACCTTTTCAGTGGACAGAACTAGGAAGTACAAGTGATTTTATGAAAAAAAATCATGAATAAAATTAATTTTTTTAAAAATCACGAATTCATATTGACAAATGCTGTTATGTTGGAAATCTTGGTTCCTTAATAACACTGTTTTATCCTATAATACATTTGAAATGATAGTATCAACTTTGTGTTAATAAAACTATTAAATGCATTTAAGAATTTTTCAGGTCATCATTTAGTTATGCTACCCACTTAACATAAAGCAAGGTTCACTTGTTTCCACTTTATTATTTTTCTTAAATTTAAAACAATACCATGGTCCAAAGTCAAAACTATATATACACCAAAGTTCATTCACAGACCTATCCCTTGAGTCCTGTAATTCTCTTTCCACCTATAGATAATCACTTTGGTTCATTTTTGGTTTGCCCATTCATTGTTCCTTTTTGAGAAAAATACATCTATACCTATTTTAGTTGTATATTATATAGATACTAGAGGCCCGGTGCATGAAATTCGTGCACTGGAGGGGGGAGGGGGGATCCCTCAGCCCAGCCTGCGCCCTCTTGCAGTCCAGGACCCCTTGCTCCTTACTGCCGCCTGCTCGCTGCTCCTTACTACTCGGCTCACTGCTCCTCAGCGCTGCCACAGAGGCAGGAGAGGGTCCCATCACCACCGCTGCGCTTGCCAGCCGTCAGCCTGGCTTCTGGCACTGACCACCAGGGGCAGCTCCTGTGCTGAGCATCTGCCCCCTGGTGGTCAATGCACATCATAGTGACCAATCATTCTGGTCGTTCCACCGTAAAGGTCACTTAGGCTTTTATTATATAGATATTCATTCTTTCCTTCCTTTATTATGCCTTCTTCATTTTGTGATTTCATGAAAATTATAGGCAGTGTTTTTTGTAAGTTTTTCCTCATTCTCTAAGACAAAATTCTTCAAAGGTAGTGGTTGATCTCAATTACACTATTGTCTACACCAGTGGTTCTCAACCTTCCTAATGCTGCGACCCTTTAACACAGTTCCTCATGTTGTGGTGACTCCCAACCATAAAATTATTTTTGTTGCTACTTCATAACTGTAATTTTGCTACTGTTATGAATCGTAATGTAAATATCTGATATGCAGGATGTATTTTCATTGTTACAAATTGAACATAATTAAAGCATAGTGATGAATCACAAAAACAATATGTAATTGTGTTTTCCGATGGTCTTAGGCGAACCCAAAGGGGTCACAACCCACAGGTTGAGAAATGCTGGTCTACACCTTTTCTTTTAAACATGCTTAAGCTATTATTTTCAAATCTAAAGATCATTTTTCTTGATAGAATACATGCATTCTTTCCAACTTCTGTTAATATAATACAATGTGCCACAAGAAACTAGCCGTTTTTTCTCCTTCTCAGAATATAACAACAACAAAAATAATTTAGAGTGTATTACATAGTTCCAGCTAACATCACTCAAACCATACCTTGGAAGCACTGTACTCTCTGTAAAATGTGGTGGTCCATTCACCATGTACAGTCCTTCTGATCCTCGGACTAAAGAAATAAAATGAAAAGAATCACCATGACTTTGTTAATAAATAGTTACCACAAATGTCTTAAGAAACAAAAAGCTTTCTGTCAAAATATTAATAAAATTATGAAACATTTCTTAGACTTATAGAATGTTAGTGTGAAAAGGGCACAATTTTCTTACCCTATTGCAGGAAATAATATAACTGCTGAGAATAAATAGGTAATGCAATAGATTGAATGTTTGTGTTCACCCCAAATCCTCAAGCTGACACCCTAATCCCAAGGTGATATTTGAAGGTGGGGTCTTTGGGAGGTAGTTAGATCACAAGGGCAGAGCTCTCATAAATGGGATGGATTAGTGCTCTTGTAAGAAGAGCCTAGAGAGCTAGCTAGCTCTCTGCCATGTCAGGACACAATAAGTAGTTGGTAGTCTACAACCTGGAGTAGGGCCCTCACTAGAACCCAACCATGCTGGCACCCTGATCTCAGACTTCCAACCTCTAGAACTGTGAGAAATAAATTTGTTGTTTATAAGCTACTCAATTTGTTATAGCAGTCCAAAATAAGACAGGTAATACCCCTCATTTCTTTTCCTATAAAGCATATTCATTTAGTCTCTAAGGAGATTACTTCAATAAATCCACTTTTACTATTTTATAAGAAATACTAGAGGCCCGGTGCACGAAATTTGTGTAAGGGGGGGTCCCTCAGCCTGGCCTGCACCCTCTCCAATTCGGGACCCCCCCAAGGGATGTCCGACTGCCTCTCACAATCCAGGACCGCTGGCTCCTAACTGCTCGCCTGCTTACCTGCCTGATCGCCCCTAACCCCTCTGCCTGCCTGCCTGATTGATCCTAACCACCTCTGCCCGCCTGATCGCCCCTAACTGTTCCCCTACCGGCCTGATCGCCCCAAACTGCTCCCCTGCTGGCCTGATCGCCCCTAACCGCCGCTGCATCGCCCAGCACCCAGGCTTCCCTCCCTCTAGCTGTTCGCAGGCACCTGGGACTCGGGCTTCTCTCCAGGCACCCAGGACCCGGGCCAGCTTCACCTGGGCCGGCCACAGCCACAGGGGACCGTGGGCAGGCAGTTTTGCCTGGGCCCCAGCTGCAGGAGCCCGGGACCGCAGGGCGGGCGGCTTGTCCCTCTCCTGGGCCACAGGCTGGCTGGTCCTCATTCCTCTCTCATGAGCTCATTTCTGCCTGGCTGGTACCCATTCCTCTCTCCCCAGTGTTGAGTGTCTGAGCAGTTCTAGCGTGAGGGCATGCAGGTGTGACAACCATTTGCATATTAGCTCTTTATTATATAGGATATGCAAGTACACTGAGATACAACATTCATACTTGTATTCCTTCATTCAAATGAAAAAAGTGATTTTAGTGTTATATTTTCACATTTCTATAAATATTTATTTATTGATTTTTAGAGAGAGAGAGGGAGAGAGAAACATCAATTTGTTGTTACACTTATTATGAATTTATTGGTTGCTTCTTGTGTGTGCCCTGACCAGGAATCAAGCCTGCAACCTCCGCATATTAGGATGATGGCTCTAACCAACTGAGTTACCTGGCCAGAGCTATTTTTACATATTTAATCTCATTTTCAGAATGTGTTGATGTTGGAAACAGAATTAGAAACTGAGTCTAAGTTCAATTTTCTTTGTATCAGCTTAATTTTTCAAGTAACTTTTACAAATAACAACTCAAAATCTTAACTGTTATTCGTGAAAATGTAATTCTGCTATAATAGAAAGAACCTGAACTCAAAGGCAGACTTTTGTTTCTATCTGGCTGTGAATCCCTGGCTATATCACCTCTAAATCTGTTCCCTAATCTGTAAAAATGAAAACATTAGAACAGAGGGTGGCTGTGTGCTTTATATAAACTAGAGGCCCAGTGCACCGATCGGGGCCAGGCCAGCTGGAGGGAGGGGCTGCGGGAGGTTGACCGGCCACAGTGCGTGTTACAGTGACCGGTTGTTCCAGTCACTTGGCTTTTATATCCTATACTAGAGGCCTGGTGCAAAAAAATTTGTGCACTCGGGGGGGAGGGGGGGTCCCTCAGCCCAGCTTGTGCCCTCTCGCAGTCTGGGACCCCTCAGGAGATAACGACCTGCTGGCTTAGGCCTGCTCCTGGGTGGCAGAGGGCAGGCCCAATCCCTAGGTGCAGCCCCTGGTCAGGCTCAGAGCAGGGCCGATTGGGGAGTTGGGGCGCCGCCCCCTGTCATGCACAAAGCAGGGCGTATCGGGAGGTTGCGATGCCACCCCTAGTCACGCTCAGGGTAGGGCCGATTGGGGGGTTGGGGCACCGCCCCCTGTCACACTCAAGGCAGGGTCGATGGGGAGGTTGCGGCGCCACCCCCTGTCAC